ATATATGTATGTGTGTATATATATATGTATTAAATGTTATATATAACATTTATTTATTTTTGAGAGACAGAGCACAAGTCGGGGAGGGGCAGAGAGAGAATGAGACAGAGAATCCAAAGCATCCAAAGCAGACTCCAGGCTCTGAGTTGTCAGCACAGAGCCTGACATGGGGCTTGAACTCACAAACCGTGAGATCATGACCTGAGCCAAAGTTGGACACTTAACCAACTGAGCCATCCAGGCGCCCCTGGAATTAACATTTCTTAAATTGCATTAGGATTTTTTAAATTCTTATTTTGGGGCATCAGTAGCCCATGAACCCTCCAGAAATCTGCAGGATGTAAGTTTAACATAACAGATATATTAAAGAAAATTCATAGAAATATGAGCTCCATAACTATATGTTATTGTAGCTAAATAGCATCCCAGAACGTATTTCTAGTAGCAGTTAGTCTTCTCTAGGCACAGTCACTTCTATTCTGAGTTATTTTTTCAGAAAAAGGTAGTTTCAGGGTAATTAATTTATTCAGCAGAATTTATTGATACCTACTATGTGCCAAATGATGCTGCTCTGCAGATAAAGTAACAAACAAAAATAAAGTTCCATTTATCTTTTGCCACAATAAAAAAAAAGTTCCTACTTTTATGGAGCTTCCATTCTAAAGGGGTAAGACATGATAGACAAGTTAGCATATAAATATATGTCAAGTTATGATAAATGCTGTGAAGAAAAATAATAATAAATAATAAATAATAATAAAGAGGAAGTGATGTTTTAGATAGAATGGTCAGGAAAAACTTCTCCGATGAGACGTATGGTATTTGGCAATATATTAGAAAGTAGCTTTAAGAGACACATAGTTAATAAAAGACTTATTGAGGTCAATTCAAGAAAGAATTGAAGGAGAAGCAATAGAGTTATAAAATATATACAATGCTTTCAAGGAGATTTGCAGAGAATGGGAACTATAGATGGAGGGGGAATGGGATCAAGGAAATTCTAATGGAAATTATCCAGTAGAGGGAAAACCAATGATGCAAGAGAGAAAAGGGACAATTACATGGAAAAAAATCCTTAGGTAGTCATGAAGATAGAATCCACTCCACCAGTGGAGAGGTTGGCCTTAGATAGAAGCACAGATAGTTTAATTTTTATTATGAAAGGAAGGCAGAGAATTTATAAATACAAATATAGATGAGTTGGTGGATTTAGTGGTGGGATCATGTAGATGTTTTCTTTGATTGCTTGTTTTTCTCGGCAAAATAAAGAGGTCAGAATCTAAGAATGAGGAAGGAGGAGAAGGTGTTGAAAGTTTGAGGGGAAGAGAGGTGTGAAATAGTCATTTCAGAGAATAGAACAGTAAATTGACTAGAGTAGTGTATTAGGATAGCTGGGCAGTAGAGGGTTCAGTCAAGACAGTGATCATCAACTTAAAGTGAAGACAGTGAGAAGAGATGCATGTTGTTCTCCAGCCACTGCCTACTGCCCTCATGTAGGCTTAGAATATGTGGACAGTTGGATTTAGCCAGAGGTGGGTTTTGTCAGATAGAGGGTTGGAACAGAAAGGATCCAGAGAGTTGAGGGTGTATCGTAGGAAGATGTTATGACCATTGGACTCCAGGCGGGGTAAGGTTGTAAGTGAGACATGAGAATGTTAAAAGGCAGGGTCATCTCCCAGGCTGTTTCCTTCACAGATCTGTATGCCACAACCCATTTCAACAGTGACCCTGCTTTGCTGGTCAACGTAGAGCAACAATTATCTACCAGTCTCGGTGATGTAACACCAGCACATGGTTCTTTCCCAAACAACTCCACCCTGGGAGACTCTCTACGGACACTGCTATTGCCTACTGTGACCTCAGAAAACAGAGAGAGTTTGACCAAGGGGTCATTAAGCCCATCAAGGAGAGGATTCAAATGGAAGGACAATCTCCTTGCCACCTTGAATCCAAAGATTGGTTTCCAAGATGCTACCGGCAGTGAGGCAAGTATTGGTTTGTTTGCTTGTACAAGAAACACGTCAGATCCAAGACCACAGTGGGGTTCTGTTGGGGGTGGCAGTGATTCTGACCAAGGGTACTACAAATTCAAAGGGATTTTTGGAGGCCAGTGGTTAATACTGCCAGGCCAAAGCCTATCATTCTTCTGCCCTTGGGAAAGTCATTCCCCTTCTGCTGCATTTTCTCATTTCCATCACAGTGAGACATTCCCTAATCTACTTCCAGAGCATAAATATTGTAGGGACATACTTTGATAATAAGAAGTAGCAGACAGTTTACCATAGCAGGGAATGCAGAAGTTGCTAGGGGTTCTGGATTGGCTGAAGAGTGAGCTCTGTAGCATTGATATTTATAATCTTACCATGCTTACACATTTGCTCTGACCACACGTGACTAACTTGCTAGAGACCTTTATTGTGAATGCACTGCTTTTCTGTCTAGAAATTAAAATTATTCCAATTTTTTTTCCAAAGTAGGAGCAAGCAGGAGATGAATTAGATTATCCAAAGGATTTTTAGCTGAGAGTGGTTCAGAGAATGAACAACAAATCAAGAACCATTCCAACATATAGTACAATAGTGTTGTACAATAGAACTTAATTGCTATTCAGTTCTTATTAAGTTTTGTCACTGCTTTTGCTGACATCCCTCCATGAAGAATGCCTTCCATTCTCATCTGTTTGAATATTAATTTTTCTTCAGGTCCTAGTTCCATCATAAAGCCTTCTTCTCTTTAAAGGAACCACACTTTCAGAGCCCTGTCTTCCCTTGAACCCATGATGTTTTGTCATATGAACCATTTGTCATTCAATCATTTACTACCCTGTAAGGAAGCAGAGGATTTAGTAAAAAAAAACAAAAAACAAAAAACAAAAAAAACCCCCAAAACAAAACAAAAACCAGCTACTACATATTTTGCAATTTTTGGACATTTTTTTGCACATTGGCATGGGTTTACAAGGTTTTGTTTTGGTTTAGTTATTGGGTTTTTTTACTCTAAATACTATTCAGTTTTCAAATTTTTTGGAGGTCGTTATAATTTTTATGCACTAAAGGGGGCAGTCTTGTGGTACTTTCTTGGCTTTTTGGTCCCTTTTTTCCCATTTTCAGCCACTGATGCCTATTTTTCCAGGCAAGAGCACTGTGTTAATGTTTTTAGGGTGAAGGTTCAGCAACACTTAGGATATTTGGGATGCTATGTTAATAATACATATTCTAGGAATTTCTTTAATGTTTTTATTTATTTTTGAGAGATAGAGACAGAGCATGAATGGGGGAGGGGCAGAGAGAAAGGGAGACACAGAATCCAAAGCAGGCTCCAGGATCTGAGCTGTCAGCACAGAGCACCACGTGGGGCTCAAACTCACAAACTGTAAGGTCATGACCTGAGCTGAAGTCAGACATTTAACCAACTGAGCCACCCAGGAGCACCATCTAAGACATTTTTTTTTAACCTCTATTTCAAGTTACAGGTTTAAAAGAGGAATTAAAACCTCAATACATTTTCCTGGACCATCTTAAAAATTTTCATTTCTCTTTTCCTTTTAGATACTATTTTTTTAATAAAGTTTATTTTGAGAGAGAGAGGGCGGGGGAGGGACAGAGAGAGAGGGAGAAGAGAATCCCAAGCAGGCTTCGTGCTGTCAGCACACAGCCCAGTGTGGAGCCTGAATTCACAAACCATGAGATTGTGACCTAAGCCGAAATCAAGAGTCAGATGCTCAACCAACTGAGCCACCCAGGCGCCCCAATACTATTTTTCTTTATATGGAAAGCTATGAAAGAGCTGCTTGAATATAAATATTTAACAAATACACCGCAGTTTCTAGAAAGGCATTAGTCAGAAAATTGCTTAAAAGAACATTTACAAAGTTAAGAAAATAATTGCATGATACACAAAATTAAACCGAACATGAATTTGTGTTTAGAAATTTTGAACAACTGACTTTGGAATCATAGGCCAAATATAAAAATTAATTTAAAAAAAAGCCATGAGGTGGGGCATCTGGGTGGTGCAGACTGCTAACCATCTGACTTCAGCTCAGGTCGTGATCTCACAGTTCGTGGTTCAAACCCTGCGTCGGGCTCTGTGCTATCAGCTCAGAGCCTGCTTCGGATTCTGTGTCTCCTCCTCTCTCTATCCCTCCCCCTCTCACACTCTGTGTCTCTCTCTCTCAAAACTAAATAAACATTTAAAAAAATTTTTTTGAATAAATTTAAAAAAACAGGCACAATTTGTTGAAAATTAAAAGATTTAGGGACATCTGAGTGGTTCAATTGGCTAAGCATCCAACTCTTGGTATCAGCTCAGGTCATAATCTCATGATTTGTGAGTTCAAACTCCATGTCCAGCTCTGCATTGACAGCACAGAGTCTGCTTCGGATTCTGTCTCTCCCTCCCTCTCTGCGCCTCTCTCTCTCTCTCTCTCTCTCAAAATAAATAAACTTTAAAAAGTTGTTTTGATGTTTATTTATTTTTAGAGAGAGAGAAAGAGACAGAATGCAAGTGGGGGAAGGTCAGAGAGGGAGACACAGAATCTGAAGCAGGCTCTAGGCTCTGAACTGTTAACACAGAGCCTGATGTGCGGGGCTTGAACTCACGAACCGTGAGATCGTGACCTGAGCTGAAGTCAGATGCTTAACCAACTGAGCCCCCCAGGTGCCCCATAAATAAACTTAAAAAAAAAGTTAAAAAATTAAAAGACTCATAAAAAGTAACAAAATTATTCTAACATTCATAAAATTTATCCCCAACTCTCACCACATTGTGATAAATCAAAGAAAATGCGTAAAGTCATATATAAGTTTCCAAATTTTTCCATGATACACTCACAAAATTACCAACACATAAAAAACCAATGTTAGTAAATATTCTTTTTGACAAGTTCCTCTAAAGTGCCCTAGTGGGGTAACTAGACTTTCTATGACTTTTCTCCCCAACCAGGTTAACTTCTTAAAGTTCCTCATCCTTTACCTCTTCATATGTTCACAGTCCTTATACAGAACTCTCAGTGTACATGGTCAGTGCTCAGTACAGATCTGTTGAATAAATGTTTATCCCATTTGTAAGGCCTTTCCCTATTAACCATAGGCCATGTGTGTGACTCAGGTCATTAATATGTTCTGTTTCACAGTTGTCAGATATGACAGCATTAGCTAATTATCATCTATAGTTTTTTGTATCAGAAGAGCCAATGATTGAGAAATAACTTGGCTGTTTTCGGCTTTCTTGAAATCCATGAGACCATACAAAAAAGATTGGTAGAGGGGCGCCTGGGTGGCTCAGTTGGTTGAGCATCTGACTCTTGATTTAGACTCAGGTCATTATCTCACGGTTTGTGAGTTCAAGCCCCACATCAGGCTCTGTGCTGACAGTGCAAAGCCTGCTTGGAATTCTGTCTCCCTTGTTCTCTGCCTCTCCCCAACTTGAACGTGCATGCTCTCTCAAAATAAATAAAAATAAACTTGAATATAAAAATATAAATATCTGAATGAATAAAAAAATAATTGTGAATTTTACTGGGCAGATCTAGCCATCTTTCTAGATAAGAGTCTTACTAAATAAAAGTATGTTTGGGGCATCTGGCTCAGTCAGTTAAGTGTCTGACTCTTGATTACTCCTCAGGTCATGATCTCAGGGTTTGTGGGGTCGAGCCCCCAGTTGGGCTCTGTGCTGGGCATGGAGGCTGCTTAAGATTCTCTCTCTCTCCCTCTGCCCCTCCCCCATCCCTATGTGTGGGCATGAACTCTCTCTCTCTCAAAATAAATAAACATTTAAACATTTATCTTAAGTACTGGGTCCAACAATAACATTTAACATATAACATTTAAAATGTTACAGAACATTTAAGTTTATCATATATTAACGTACTAAATATAAGCTTATGAGTTACAATTTTAAAAATACCCATTTTATGGTATGTAATAACTTTTAAAAATGTTTTGTGGGGCTCCTGGGTGGCTTAGTCAGTTAAGCATCTGACTCTGTTTTGGCTTAGGTCATGATCTCATGGTTTCATGAATTTGAGCCTCATATTGGGCTCTGAACTGACAGTGCAGAGCCTGCTTGAGATTTTCTCTCTCTCCCTCCCTCTGCCTCTCCCCCACTCACGCTTTCTCTGTCTCTCTAAAAAATGAATTAAAGAATTTTTTGCAATGTTTTGCAAGTTTCATCTTTTTAGATTACATACTGTAATATATTGAGTCATAGATGTAGGTGTCAAAACTTAAGTTTTCTAAAACTCTCTACAGAAAACTATGATTGAATATACCATTATCTTTTAAATTATCCTTGAATATACTACCATACTTACCTTGGACATAAATAATATTCTATTCAAATCCAAACCAAGATGAACCCATCTCTTTTCTTTTAAAAAAATTTTTTTAATGTTTGTTTATTTTTTGAGAGAGTGCACATGCACACAAGTGGGGGAGGGGCAGAGAGAGAGGGAGACACAGAATCTGAACCAGGCTCCAGGCTCTGAGCTATCAACACAGAGCCCAAAGCGGGGCTTGAACTCACAAACTGTGAGATCATGACCTGAGCTGAAGTCAAACGCTTAATGACTGAACCACCCAGGGGCTCCTTTTTTCTTTTTTTAAATGTTAACACTTTAAATATTCCAGATTCTTACTTCCCTTATTGTGTAAGAATGACAAATGGTTGTGTGTGTGTGTGTTCTTTTTTTTCTTGAGCCTCTCTCTAGTGACCTGGGCAGTTTGCATGGTTTGCCAGGGAACCACAGTCCCCTGATTTCTGCCAGAACTTCCCATGTGGCCACTGTCCTCAGACAGCTCTTGGAGCTTGTGGATAAGCACTGGAATGGCTCTGGCTCCCTCCTCCTTAACAAGACGTTTCTTGGTAAGTGAATGCATTTTCAGCTTCTGGAGAAGGACTCAGACCTTGGTTCCTCTCTATGTTTCTATAAAAGCCACCAAGCCCCCTTAAGTTGCAAGGAAAATTGTCCTCATGAGCCCTTACTAAAATTTCTCAGTGGCATGGTAATTGACAAATCTGTATTTTTTCTCATAATCTTCCCTGTTGGTTTTTATCAACACTCTTCCCTCATGTACTAATTGTTTTGTCCCTTCTGTGACTTTTTTGGTACTCTCTGGGTAATATGTAGAGCAATAAGATGTAAAACAGCATGGTAGTGTTAATGATTACAAAAGGATTTTATGATCCTTGGGACAGTGAATACAACAAAAATTGGGTTTGATCATCAGAATTCTGAGATGCCTGTTGAAATGTTATGATTTGAAAAATTTGAATGAGTAAATGACTTGGACTCTTTCCAGGGCTTCTTTTTTAGGAACTTGGGGGAAAAAGTCATTCTGCAAATGTTGCCCCAAGTGTTTATTTGTTGCTTAATGGAAGAAGAGTTCAAGGAGCTTTTGTTGGTGGTAAACACTTAGGAAAAAGTAGAAACTTTAAAGTTGTTTGGGCTTAATTTTTCTAATTTAAATGTCTAAAGGGACATATAGGAAAAAAGTTACTTTCCTTCCCACATTGGCTCTTTGCTCTCATTTTGTAGGAAATTATCCTCAGGAGCCACTCATCATTGACTAGAGAATAGCATAGGGTATTGAGGGTCTACTCATGAGGGTCTACTATTGTTTCTCCACAGAGGACATGGGATAGAATTTCTTATCCATTATGAAACACCTCTTACAGCCACTTACTAAATTATATTTTTTAATTTTTTCAAGTTTATTTATTTTGAGAGAGAGAGAGCACAATCAGGGGAGGGCTGGGGGTTGGGGAGAGAATCCCAAGCAGGCTCCATGCTGTCAGCACAGAGCCTGATGCAGGGCTCAGTCCCATGAACCATGAGATCATGACCTGAGCCAAAATCAAGAGTTGGACGTTTAACCGACTGAGCCACCCAGGCACCCCTAAATTCTTGTCAAAAGGAAATATTAGATTACTGTGTTTGTCCTACAGAGCTGGTAGTTATTGATTAGGAATTCTATGCTTCAGTTTTTAAGATTGGCCCGTGTGCCCAACCTGAATTTTTGGCAGGTCCTGCCCGAGATTTACTTCTGACTTTGGTAGTCCCTGCTCCTTCCCAGCAGTGGTGTCACTCGCATCCTGAAGACACATCAAAAACCTTCCACAGCAGAGAGATGGAACCAAAGGAGGCCGGGCAGGTGGTCCCTAATGACATGGTATGCCTCACTCATCTTCCTTTCCTACTCTTCCTTTACTAGAAAAGAACAGAGCAACAAGACTAGAGCAGCTTTGTGCCATAAAGGTCATCACCATGGACCTAGATGTTCCTGAACCAAAATACAGAGAAGTCAGTCTGGGAAAATCAGGAACACAAAACTTTTTGCTAGCATAGGGACAACTTGGAAGTTCTGCAGGGATAACTCCCTACTCCTAGCCCTATTCCAAAAATTCTAAAGAAAGACTTGGAAAAAGGGGGAAAAATGACCCTAGAATGAAAATACTTAGGTTCATACTTTGGAAGATTATGGTTTAATTCTAATGAGGGAAGATAGATGTCTTGGGGGATTGTCTTTCCTCCCTTCTGATGGAACAGAGAGTCCTGAACCGGGAGCCATTCCTAGAGCATCAGGCTGTTGACTTTGGGAAATGAAGAACGGACTTATATCCTTAGGCTTTCCCCCGCTTTTCTTAACATCAGAGAATTTTCACATACCAAATTGAGTTTCTAGAAACTTTAGATAAGTGACTCAGAATGCTGGCCACTGGTCAAAAGAAGCCCTTGTTCTGTAAGAGTAGTGGATAACTTACAGGAAAGATTGCAACTCCAAGTAGTGCTCATGTTTACCAGTGAATTAAAATTCTAATGAGAAAGAGATATGCTGATCTCCATTCAGTTCATCACTAAACAGAGAAAAGTGTCTTTTAGTCTTCTAAAAGCACTCCTCAGAATTTCAGATTCTTAATGTACTTGTATTTTGTTTTCTGATCTAAAGGAAAGTTTGAAGCAAAAACTGGTCAGAGTGCTAGAGGAAAACCTCATTTTGTCAGAAAAAATCCAGCAGTTGGAGGAAGGTGCTGCCACCTCGATTGTGAGTGGGCACCAGCCCCACACTTATGGTGAGTTCAGGAAAGCTCATGGTGTGTTTATAGATGACCCATTTAATTAGCTTCATCATCTAGAGGTCACATGGAACCAATCATCTTGCCTCAGAGAGCTGTAATGCAAGTGGCTTGAGTTACCTTATGAAGCTGTCAGTGTAAAGCAAGTGCAGATGTATGTTATTATTTTTTTTTAACGTTTATTTATTTTTGAGACAGAGAGAGACAGAGCATGAACGGGGGAGGGTCAGAGAGAGGGAGATACAGAATCTGGAACAGGCTCCAGGCTCTGAGCTGTCAGCGCAGAGCCCAACGCGGGGCTCGAACTCACAGAACGCGAGATCATGACCTGAGCCGAAGTCGGCCGTTTAACCGACTGAGCCACCCAGGCGCCCCTATCATTTTTGATATTGACACTTTCTGATTATAGAAGAAGATCATGTTCTATGAACACCTGCCTGGCTCAGTCAGTAGAGCATGCCATCTTGATCTTGGGGTTGTGCGTTCCAGCCCCACACTGGGTGTAGAGATTTACTTAAAAAAAAAAAAAAAAGAAAAGATCATGTTCTTTATAGAAAGACTGAAAAATATAAGAAAAATATAACCCCATTATCCTGAAATAACTGCCACTTTTATTTTTCATATATTTTCTTTCACCATACCCATATACATATATTTTTTCAATTTAAAATTAAATTTTGTGAGGGGCAGCTGGCTGGCTCAGTTGGTAGAATATGGTACTCTTGATATTGGGGTTGTGAGTTTGAGCCCCACGTTGGGTGTAGAGATTACTTAAAAATAAAATCTTGAAAAAGATAAATAAAATTTGTGACTTGATTTTTTTTAAGTTTATTTACTTGGAGAGGGTGGGGGAGGAGCAGAGAGAGGGAGAGAGAGAATCCCAAGCAGGCTCAGCACTGTCAGTGAAGAACCTGATGCACGGCTTAAACTCACAAACTGTGAGATCATGACCTGAGCCAAATTCCAGAGTTGGTTGCTTAACCAACTGAGCCACCCAGGCACCGCAGTGACTTGATGTTTTAAAAACTAAATTACATGCAATAAAATGCACACATTTTAAGTTTGATGAGTTTTGACAAGTACATACACTCTTTTAATTTCATCCCAATCAAAATATAGAAAATTTCTGTTTCTCCAGAAAGTTCCCTGAGACCCTTGTGCAGTGAGTTTCCCCTACTCTCTACCCTAGGCAATTACCAATCTGATTTTTACATCCTAATATTTTTAATTTAATAGCAAAGGCATTTCATATAATATCACATAAATAATTCTAAAGAATTTCCAAACATTCAGAAGACTTGAAATGAAATGCTTGAATGAAGACCTGAGTGGAAATGCTTCTCTGAAATTGTCTCTTCCCTTCTGATGGAGCTCAGAGTCTTAATATTCATGCTATGATAAATAGTGCAGCTGTTTATGTACATAAATTTCACACTGTTTTCCTAGGAGACATTCCTAGAAGTAGAATTAGTAGGTCAAAATATGTGGACATTTTTGAGGTTTTTGTTGCATATTATCAAATCACTCCCAAGCAAGGTTATTTCACATCAGCAGTGAGTGTATTTACATGCCATTTTCACTCCATCCTTGCCCACACTCGGGGTTTTTTTGTGTATTTTTTTCTTTTTTTTCCATTGTGATAAGTGAAAATTAATATCTCACTGACATCTTGATTTGTACTACTTTATTATTAGCATAGTTTAGACCATAATTTTATTTTTTAAATATTTTTTGAGGGGGTGGGTAGAGAGAGAGAGAATACCATGAGATGCAGAGAGAGGGAGAGAGAGTGCAGAGCCCTGAGTGGGGCTCGAGCTCACAAACCATGAGATCATGACCTGAGCCAAAGTCAGATGCTTAAGCTACTGAGCCACCCAGGTGGCCCAGGCCAGTATCTTAGATAAAGTCTACCCTTGACATTAAACCTCTAGCTCAGCACCCCTAAGCAAACATTATGGGCATTTGGATTTATATGAGGAACTTGATTTGGAAGTCTGCACAGAATTTCTAGAATTGAAACTCATCACTGTCTGATTCTCTCAAGCCTGAATAATTGAGATTTCTCCACTTACCTGTTCTGAAAATAAACAGATGCTCACTAGATACCTACTTTCAATCACCCATGAGACCCAGTACTGTATTTTACCTTACTGGTGATAAATAAAGCTATTGCAGCCCTATTTTCCACCTTCTGGAACGTTGCCACTCAAAGGGTGAGTCACAGATCAGAAATATTAGCTTCACCTGGGAGCTTAGACATGTAGAATATTGGACTTCATGTCAGACCTACTGAATCAGAATCTGTTTTTAACAAGATCCCCAGGTGTAAGCATATTAATGTTTAAGAAGTACTGTTCTAGAAGACTGACTTCCTTAGGACCAGAGTTCCTGCGCTTTTACCTACTTCATTAAAAAAAACCCAAAACCCCTTTTTTTTTTAAATGTTTTTTTTGAAAGACAGAGTGCGAGTGGGGGAGGGACAGAGAGAGGGAGACACAGAATCTGGAGCAGGCTCTGGGCTCTGAGCTGTTAGCACAGAGCTCGATGGGGGGCTCAAACTCATGAACTGAGAGATCATGACCTGAGCCGAAGTTGGATGCTTAACCGACTAAGCCACCCAGGTACCCCATCTACTTCATTTTTGCAGGCAGTGGTAACATAGTTGGGGACCTAGGTATGAATGTCTTGACTACAAATTCAGTTTCTGTAAGTGCTCAGTGCCTGTAAGCACTATATGCCTGACACAGTTCTAGATGTTTTCACATATACTATAGAGAGTGAAGGATATACATACATTCACAAACTAAAATGGAGAATACAGAGATACCTAATATGTGTTAACTATGCTAAGTGAGGATTGGATCCTCACAGCAGTGGTGGGGTAGGGTTATTGCTCTAGTGAAACTCAGAAAAATAAACTAACATGGGGTGCCTGGGTGGCTCAGTCGGTTAAGCGTCTGACTTCAGCTCAGGTCATGATCTCACGGTCTGTGAGTTTGAGCCCCGCATTGGGCTCTGTGCTGACAGCTCAGAGCCTGGAGCCCGTTTCAGATTCTGTGTCTCCCTCTCTCTCTGACCTTCCCCCGTTCATGCTCTGTCTCTCTCTGTCTCAAAAATAAATAAACATTAAAAAGAAAAGAAAAGAAAAATAAACTAACATGTAATATTAAATGGTTGAATTTTAATTCAGGTTGGATACTCCAACCACTGTATCTGCTGTCTGTAAGGGAGGGAATAGTGAATGGAGTGTGGAAGTGCGTGCAGAATTGGGGCCCCCAATTCTTTAAGATGTCCACCTGATTGCTTAAGCTCTGCTCAAAGATAGTGGCTTGGAATCTTGTTCACATCTGGCTCCTGTACCCTTTGCAGATGATCTTCTGCGCAAAAACCAACAGCTGACCATGCAGGTGGCTTGCCTCAACCAGGAGCTTGCCCAGCTGAAAAAGCTGGAGGAGACAGTGGCCCTTCTCCATGAAAGTCAAAGGTAGGAGAAGGTCTATCTAGCTCACTTCTAGAAGCCAATATTTACTTTCCTTTAACTGTTTTGTCTTATTTGATAAGTTAATACCTATATACTTTTCAAATTAACTTCATTCTGTGTGTAATCTCATGTATCTAGACGTATCTGTGTGTAAACTTCCTGTATTCCAGGACACACAAGAGACTAAAGATCTTTGCTGGCTTTAGTAGGTCACAACACCTCAATAATAAGTAGTTTCTCACTGGATCCAATAGGGCCCAGGTTTGAGTCAGCTAGCTTTCCTTGGTCACTATGTGCCCCTAAAACCAGCCATCTGTCTCTTCTGGAAAATGCCTGCCTCCTAATGCTCTCAGAAGAGACATCAAGCACTTAGGAAGAGTGGTTGAATGTCCATTATATGTGTTCTCTTCAGAGCTGCTCAACAGTATCAGCCTCTTCAAAGAACAGTACCCTCAGCATGCCAGCTAGACAAATCAGAAGAGGCCTCAAGTCTTTTGGTACATTTACAGAAGTTCTTGACATTTTCATTTGCAAAACACCTTCACTATGACTTTCAATGAAGTTTAAATATAAGAACCCCATCCCCAAACCTTTGTCCCCAAACTTCACTTCCTGAGTAGCTAGTGAATTAGGATAGCTTCATATTCAGAGGATTAGACCCAGACCCATTCTAGATGGCTTTTTTTAACTTTCCGTTATAGTTATTTCAATACATACAAAGGTAGAGGAAGTAGAATCAAATCATCCTTCTCAAACTGGGGTATTAGAATCACCTGAAAAACTTGTTGAAATGCAGATTCCTGGGTCCCTACCCCCAGAGTTTCTGATTCAGCAGGTCTGGGTTGGGGACAGAGAATTTACATTCTAATAAGTTTCCAGGTGATGCTGTTGTTGTTGATTTGGGGATCACATTTTGAGAACAATAGGGTATATCTCAAAGTGATGTACAAATTGCTATATCTTAAAGTAAATCTTCTGTGGAGGACACCTGGGTGGATCAGTCCATTAAGCGTCCGACTTCGGCTCAGGTCATGATCTCATGGTTTGTGAGTTAGAGCCCTGTGTCAGGCTCTGTGCTGACAGCTCAGAGCCTGGAGCCTGTTTCAGATTCTGTGTCTCCCTTTCTCTCTGCCCCTCCCCGTTCACGCTCTGTCTCTCGCTCTCTCTCTCTCAAAAATAAATATTAAGAGGCTCCTGGGTGGCTCAGTCAGTTGAGCGTCCGACTTCGGCTCAGGTCACGATCTCACGGTTTGTGGGTTTGAGCCCCGTGTCAGGTTCTGTGCTGACAGCTTGGAGCCTGGAGCCTGCTTCAGATTCTGTGTCTCCCTCTCTCTCTGCCCCTCTCCTGCTCATGCTCTGTCTCTCTCTGTCTCTCAAAAGTGAATAAATATTTTTAAAAAGTTTTAAAATAAAATAAATAAACATTAAAATATTTTTGAAAGAAATAATTCTGCATGTTGTTAAACCATCAATTCAATATATAGCTTTAATTTGTTTCATTTTGCTTTTGATTCATAAGCAATTTTCAAATTATTTTTATTTAATCTTGTTTTATTTTTTTTTAACATTTATTTATTTTTGAGAGACAGAAAGAGACAGAGCATGGGCAGGGGAGGGACAGAGAGAGAGGAAGACAGAATCCGAAGCAGGTTCCAGACTCTGAGCTGTTAGCACCGAGTCCGACACAGGGCTCAAACTCACAAACTATGAGATCATGACCTGAGCCGAAGTCAGACTCTTAACCGACTAAAGCACCCAGGCACCGCAATCTTGTTTTATAATTATGTAAAACATTTACACGGTTCCAAAGTCAAATCTACAAAATAAGATAAATTCAGACAAATATAAAAAGTAAGCATAGTGTTGTTTTAACTTTTATCTTAGAAATCAGTTCACAGTAGTGTATACAGTTAGTTCTCATTCATTTTTATAACTGCATAGGACTAGGACTCCACTCTGCATTTATTTAATTAGTCCTCTATTGACAGACATTTAGATTGACGGTATTTTTGCTATTATAAACAGTGTTGCAATGAATAGCATTGTGCATGCATTTTTTTTTTTTGGCTAGTCTCTGATAGCTTTTAATATTACATAGTAATACAGAGCTCAAGAATACAGTCATGACTAACACCATTAGTTAATTAATATCCTGCAAACGCAGGATAGATTAGAAGAAGTAGAAGTTAAGATCTGGGGATAGAAACTGGAGGCCTGGTCAGATGCCAATCTTCCAGTGCTTCTACTTACCTCATCATGAAAGTGCTTTAGAAAGGATAGAACAATCACTATATAAAATGTGAACTATGTTATTGCTACAGTCAGTCTGGAACATAATCAAACAGAACTGTAATGAAGAAAGAAACTGTCAGCCTGCCTCTAAAATAACCCACTCATAAATCGGTCAGTTCTTTCTATTTAAAGATGTTACTTCATTTTATATTTGTCTTTAGTAAACATCTCAGGTCTGAATGGCATCTACTTTGTTTTTACGATTTCATGACTGTCTTTCCCCGCCTCCCCACCCGTGCCTCAGATCCCTGGTGGTAACTAATGAGTATCTGCTGCAGCAGCTGAATAAAGAGCAAAAAGGTTATTCTGGGAAAGCACTCCTGCCTCCTGAGAAGAGTCATCATTTGGGGAGATCGTCACCCTTTGGGAAAAGGACGCTGTCTTCCTCCTCACCAGTGGCACATGACACGGGTCAGTATCTAATACAGAGTGTTTCAGACTCTGTTCCAGAGCCTAGTTTATGGAGCTAGCGCTAAATACCTTCTCTGTGGCTTCCCTCTCAGCCCCAGGGGGGTGTCACTAGTGTCATTGCCACTAGTATGGTAGTATTTACCCACAAAATTAAGAGAAAATCTTATTCTGATTACATTGTATTGGTCCTTTTTATTTCTCTTTTTATCTCCTCCCATCAAGTCTTTCTTTCTTCCTGCCCTCAAAAATAGTTGGCACTTAATCCTAGGCATCATATCACATAGAAACATTTGGTTAAAAATGTCTTGGCACCTGTGCCTGGGTGGCTCAGTTGGTTAAGCATCTGGCTCGTGGTTTCAGCTCAGGTCATGATCTCACAGCTCGTGAGTTCAAGCCCCACATCAGCCTCCATGCTGATAGTGCAGAGCCTGCTTGGGATTCTCTTTCTCTGCCTCTCCTCTGTTTGCTCTCTTGCAAATAAATAAACTTATGTGTGTGTGTGTGTGTGTGTGTGTGTGTGTGTATACACACACACACACACACACACACAAAAGAGAAGAAACATTTGGCTAAAAATGTCAAAAAGGAAAAAAATCAGACATTTTTCTGAGTGTCACTTGAAACTATGTGGTAGAAGGTTTTAAAAGATCATCACTGGCCAGGTGTATTTTGTGTTAGAAGAAATTTCAGAGAATCTATATTGATTGGCTCATCAATCATGTTTTGAGTTTCTTACCACCATAGTGAAAAGGTGACAATGTCTGGTGTCAGCTTAGGAGCAGCCAACAGTTTAGTTGAGGAGATGAGCAAAACTCATGTGATGAAGCTCAAAGATTGGTATTGGTACGAAACAGGTCTAAATTCAAGCCCAGGGGTGCCTGAGTGGCTCAATTAAGTGTCTGACTCTCAATTTCAACTCAGGTCATGATCTCACAGGTTGAGAGTTCGAGCCCTGCATCTGGCTCTCTGCTGTCAGCACAGAGCCCACTTCGAATCCTCTGTCCCCCTCTCTCTCTCTGCCCCTTCCCCGCTCGCTCTCTCTCTCAAAACAAACATTAAAAAATATTTAAATACGTACATACATACACACATGCCCAAAAAATGCCCTAGAGAGAGAGGAGGGGAGGCAGAGGAAGGAATTCCCACTCTGGGGAATTGGAGAAGGCATCAGTGAGGACTTGTTGTTTGAGTGGAAGCTTGAAGAATGAGTACCATGGTAACAGAGGGGGTAGGCAGAGTCCCCCAGGCCAAGAATGCAGAGTAAAAGAGTCTGGAGCCCCTAGAGGGATTGTAGGGCAGGGAAGATGTGGGAGGAAATGTGCTGGGAGAATATATTAAATAGGGGAGCTGTCATAGTCTGGGAGGTGTAGTGTCAAGAAATGTCCTCTTAAAGAAATGATCTTTTTAAAAAAATTTATTTAAAAATTAATAATTTAATAAATTAAATTTAATTTATGATGAGTAGGAGCTAGGCTGCATGACTCCTTGAAGATTTTAGATTAGGAAAGCAAAGGAGTGACATTTGTGTTTGAGAAACTTTCTCTATAAGAGGAATGGATTGAGGACCATGTGGAGTAGGGGAGGACCAACGAGGAGTTAGAGATAAAAGAGAAGACTGGTGTGATCCAGACCAGAGATAAAGCTTCCGAATGTTAGCTCTGGGCTCACTTTACACATGAGTACCTTGCCTTTCAGATCTGAGACACAATGTTTCTTTTAATCCTGTTTAGTCGGGCATTTAAAAATCAGTGGTAGGGGTGCCTGGGTGGCTCAGTCAGTTAAGTGTCTGACTTCAGCTCAGGTCATGATCTTGCGGTTCATGGGTTCGAGTCCTGCATCAGGCTCTGTGCTGACAGCTCCAACTTAGAGCCTGGAGCCTGCTTCAGATTCTGTGTCTCCCTCTCTCTCTGCCCCTCCCTTGCTCACACACTCTCTCTCAAAAGTAAATATTTTTAAAAAATTTTTAATCACTGGTAAAGATAATGAAAGTGATTCTGCTTCAGGGTCACCCAGATAGCTAGCTAATGTTGCTGGAGCATGTAAAGGGCGAAGGACTGTCAGCCTAACTCCATGTTGTGCTTCTCTTCATCTCCAGGGTCATGTCAGAGAGAGAGACAGGTGGGAAGATTACACACTTATTTGCTCCTCTGACCCAGGTACTCTTCAGGGAAGGCAAGCTATTGCCACAGTAATGAGACATGAAGATCACAACCAAGTTCACACACTTCTGAGTTATAAATAAAATCCACAGGCCTCTGAATTTTATGGGGGTTCCCAAAAGGAGAATGTAGAGAGGAGCCCTAAGTTTCTTTGAGTTGCATGTCTTTGTAGAACCTAAAGTGAGCTCATACTCTGTGGAAATAGTAAAACAACCCACTTTCCTACTTTTCTAGGCCTGTCTTGGCTCTGTTGAGAGGTCTCCAACAAGTCTAAGCCTTACCCAGGTAGGGTAGCCTCAGCCAGTAGCCCTATAGCCCTGAGTTGTCATATTTCAGCGTCCCAGCACAGTACACAGGCCAACTTACTGGGCTAAACCATTGAGGGAAAAATAATGAATTTTCCCTCCAACTCCAGCTCTCCCTTTCTTGCCCTATGAATGTCTAATAATGCCAGACCCAGAACCTATTCAGGGTACCTCTAAGGAGGAGCAAACTGAGTCAGTCACCTTCTACCCTATTTTCTATTGTCACTGAAAGTGGCTGGCCCTGCCCCTCTCTAGGGTTGCTGGCTACTTCTGGGAAAGTCAGCTGTTTCTTAATTTCCCTATGTGGCCCTTGGTCTAGAAGGCAGGGGCAAGAATTGGTGGTGTCAAAGAAAGGGGCATAGAGTTGTTGCCCTGTGGGGCTAAGTGAGCTCAACATGGAGTGGGTGGAGTTTCTGGGCTCAGCCTGTTCTCTCTCTGGGCTGCTCTAAGCCACATTGCCAGCAGCTGAGCTGCTGCTCCCCTACACATTGGATAGTATTCTCACCTGAGCTTAATAACCTGGATCAAATTGCAATACAGTTAAATTCTTTTTCACTATGAGGATATTTTAGTAAATGAAGGCCAGAAGGATTTGGATTTCACTCTTACTGTGCTCACTTAAGTAAGTTCACAATTCAGCAAATTCTACAGGGCTGGAGGAATCATTCCTGTTACTGTTTGCTGGTGGGAGAGGTAAAGCTCTCTGAAACTCTTCCCTGGGCAATGCAAAGCAACATAGTCAACTGAGTCAGGAGGAGCCCACAGCTGTCAGCTGTTAGGCAAGGCTCTGCTGTGGCCAGGTGCTGACCTCCACTTTCTAATTCCCACCTTGTCTCTGCAGTGTTCCTACCCCAAACCATACTATTCCTCTCCAACCCCACTCAAGGGACTCTGCCTGGGGCAGGGACATCCCAGAACAGCCTGTGGGATGAGGGAATGAACCCTTGTACTGCTTTGCCACCTTATCTGGATGAGAAAAAAAAGGTATTTGTGAGTATCTGTTAAGCCTTTTCTAGAACCCTTGGGAGCTGCCCACTCCTGGGCAGGCCCTAAGTCCCATCCAGTCTGCTTGTCAGCAGGAAAGAAGGAGAGTTGGCCCCAAAGCCTTGGGGTTGGGAATAGCTATGGCCTAACAACCAGGGCCTCACAGAAGAAAAAATGTTGATCTGGAAACTTCCAGGAGTCCTCAAGGACCAGAGATTTCTCTCCCTCCTCACAACATGGGATGTTGAACAGATGGGAGGGAATCAGCAAGAAGCCCCTTCACTGTTGGACACCCTGCTCACATGCCAAAGGTTGGTGTTGGATGCCAGGCTCTATCACTGGCCATGGAACCCCATTTTTGGAAATCACTGTTGGGGACTGCTGTGTTAGAGCCTGGCCTGGGAGGCAAGAGGCATGGTTCTTGGCTCTGTTCTGCAAAATTCCCCTCACTCTCTGGGCCTCAGTTTCCTCAGCTATAAAATTATGGAGTTGGACTATCCACTCTTGAAGGTTCTTGCTGCTCCTGCATTATCTGGTATTCTGAGCTGGACCCCAGAAATGACTTACCTTGGTAGCCCCATCAAGTTGAGGACCTGTCAGCAGGCTTAGACTTGAGGCCTGGCACTGGACCCTGCCCAGCACCTTGGCCAGGCCTAGTCTGCTGTCTCATTCCTCTCTCCTAGAGAGGCCAAGACTGAGCCCTAATTGCAGGAGAGCAAGATATGATGTTAGGATTGTGGGTCAGGGCTGAGGTGAAAGGCCTTATATTTCCCTAAGAAGCATCCTCAGGTAATCTGGCTTTGTGCTAATGGAAGGGACCTGGTATGTGTCTTCTGGGCAGGGCTGCCAGTGGAAAGATCAGCAGAGTGTGATCTGCAAGCGGGTGGTAACACTGAGAGGTCAGCAGGGTGTGAATGTCATTATCCCCATTACCATATACCTGACCAGGTTATATTGGTACAAAAGGTATCTTTATTGAGGTCTGGGTAAGAATTAGGCACTTGGCCAGAGCAGCAGCTTAAATATGAGGCAAGCACGCAAGGGGTTAGCCATGCCCAGGGCTAGGTTGGGGCAGTGAGGCTACAGGCACAGACCCTCCCCAGACAGCCAGAAGTCAGGGAGGGAAGGGGAAGGGGATGCAGAGCAGTCTGGGTCAGAGGTCTGGTGGGCTGGCCCTTGGGGCTGGGCAGGAAGCACTGGGTGGAGGTCCAGCAGGGAAGGGACAGGGCTCTCTCGCTCCATGTGCCCTTTAGGCCCAGGCCTGAGCCTCTGCTGGGGGCAGCCATGCTGTGGGCCTTCCCAGGCCTTACTTCTTCACCTTTGCATCATAGGTGCCTGCGTTCTTGTAGGCACTCACATAGCCACTGTCATCCAGGATGTCCTGACGCCCAGCAATGCCCTTGCCCTTGCCGCTCTCGTCGAAGCGCTCCTTGTGGGAGCCTGTGTACTTGCTGGTGTCAGTCAGCCGTTCCACAGCACCTCCTGTCTTTGCTTTCTGTTTGGACAGAATTGTTCCTCCAAGGGCACCTGGCATTGGGAAGCCCAGACCGCCACCCCCAGCTGTGATTCCCCATATCCCCCTCAGTGGCCACCCGAGACCAGCAGGGTACTTACGGTGACGCCCACATTGGCTGGTTCCTTGCCTGCCACCAGCTGGCAGATGGCATCGAAGGCTTCCTCCTTACTCTTCCCCTTGAATCGCTTCATTGCCAGCTCTTCTAGAGCCTTCTTGAACTCCTCATAGTTGATAACCCGAGCAGACTTTCCTCTGCAAGGTATGTGGACACCATGAGTTTTCCCCCTTCTCCACGTCTTCCCTGGTTCCAGCCTCCCAGTTCCCCACCTTCTGGGAACATTAGAAGCAAGGACTGCCTGGGGCTCACTTGACTTTGGAGAAGACGATGTCGACATCGGTCCCTGTCACGGCCTTTCCATCAGCCACCTTGCAGTCCTTGCACAGCTTGGCCCAGTTCTTGCCATTCATCTCTTGCCCACTGGCCTTGGGGTCACCATGGATGGCAAACTTGCGGAAGCTTTCCTCCAGCCCAGCCACATCTGTGCTTGCTGCCATGCTACCCTGTGGGGGGGGGGGGGACCCACCTCAGTCACCTCCCAGCCAAGCTGCCCCTCCTCTCCCCAAGGCAGAGAATATCACTGCCTCTACCTCAAAACCTACCAAGGTCTGAGTTATGGGGCACTTATGCCACATACCCTCAGAGTTGGAGACGGAGTTGCCTGGGGAGAGGGGCCAGCACTCAGTGTGTCCCTGGGCCTCAGAGTCCCAAGGAGAAGCCCTGAAAGGTCCTGTCACTTAATGCCAGCCCTGGCTTAGAGTGGAGTTCAGAAGGTGAAATCATGATGCCCACACCAGGCTGGGAACAGAGTGGCACTGTCCAGAAAGACTGTGAGGGCAACAGCTGGGGCCATGGCTTTGTCTGACCCTGGCACAAGGCCTGCTTGGGTGGAAGTGAGGGTGGCAGAGCAGGCACCCCTCCCTGGGAGTTCCATGCCAAGCTAGGTCAGGGCCAGGCCAGGCTGCTGGTTGGGCAGGTATTTAGTAAGGACAGTGTCTCTGTCAGAGTCATGAGGACCCAGAAAGACCCAGTCCATGCTGAGAAGGGAGCCAGATCATGGGCAGGGGTGCATGCCCTAGGCAGGGGTGCAGCTAGGCCAGCCAGGACCTTGTTACTATTTGCTGTTAAACAAAAACACGAGGGGAGCGGGAGTTTGGGGCTGGCCTGGCCACAGTTTGTGAAGCCTGGAGACAGTTGCTAAGGGAGGGTAGTACTGCTTGGAGAATGTTGCTAAGGGCAGGATGGTGTCAGGGCGGCTCAGGGAGAAGCTCCCAGTGTTGCTGGGCTGGGCTGGGCTAGGGAACGGGCCCACGGGTGGGGCACAGCAGCACTCCCAGTGCCTGGGGCACAACCGTGGCCTCCTGGTCCCTTGCCATCCATTTGGGGCTGTAACCTCCCAGTCTGTAGAGTTTAAGAGGAGCAGGTGATTAGGAGACTAGACTGGGTAGGGGTTGTAGAGTTATCAACCCCCAGAGGCATGTTGGCAACTGCAGGTATGGCCTTGGTCCTGTAATCCTCACACCTATGCCCTACAGTGAAGCACACTTCCCCAGTGTCTACACCTTCAGTCTTCCATGGAAGCCCCTGGCCACACCCTGAGCACTGTCACACCAGTCCACATTCCCACAGCTGAATGCATGTAGCCCTGGCTCTCCACATTCTCAGCCTTATTCCCCCCACCAGACCCTTAACCAGTCTCGGGACTGAGGGCCCGTACCATTTCCTCAGCACCCACGGCCACACATATACTAACAGCCCCGTACAGAAACCCGCCAATAATACTCTTAGCCCTGCAATAAAGTGTCCCTCCTACACCCCCCACAGCCTCCCTGCAGCCCCTTGCCCACACCTACAGCCCTGCACTGCAGCTATGACGTGTGACACAGCCCAGTACTGAGGCCTCCTTGACCACACCTTCAGACCTCCACTGCAGCTACCCCCGTCCACACACACACCCCGGCCCTGGGACTAAGGCTCGTTATCCACATACCCACAGCCCTTACTGAGCCCCCTAAACAGAGCTTCACAACTCACCCCCTCTCTGTACACTTGTAGCCTCTGACCACATCCTTACACCCACAAGCCTTCTGGCCTCATGCTCAACCCTGCCCTGAAACCCCTCAGTGTCCAAACCCACAGACTTGCATTTCCAGACTCCCAGGTATTACACTGAGAGACCCCATGTTGAGACTCCCCGAACACACCCCAAACCTCCACTGCAGCCTCCTGAACACACCCTAAGTCATGTCCTCAGCAAACAGCTTCTACCTCTGCCTTTTATCTATCCTAAGGCCTCCAGTTACCATAGCCTGGGCCCCTATAGAACTACACCCCCTTCCATTTACCACTGGCCTTAACAATGAAAGCCCCCTCCCAGTGACCATCCTCACTATCCCTAAGTTGCAATTTCTGGGCCTAGGGGTCCCCGCTGTCCCCACATTGTCGCGACTCTATGGACCCACAATCCCAGGTTCACACAGCACTCCTCTTCCCTCTCTCTACACTCCAACCTCCCACTACAGATCCAGAGACGCCACCCAACTGTAAAGTCTCGGGGAGGTTTTGGGGCACAGATGCTTGTCCCAGACTGACTGACAGGATCCTGCATCCAGTGCTCACTCCTGTTATGGGAAGAAGGGATTCTTGGTACTGATTAGGTGGAGCCAGGTCGCAGGCCATAGTCCCAGGAGTCTGCAGGCCAAGGATGGAGCGGCCACACCCAAGAACTGGGGCCACCCGCGGACTCCCACTGGGACAGCTGGAGTCATCAATCAGCAGGGCAAGGAGGTGGGGGAGGAACGCTTGGGGCCCAGGGCAGGGCCGCTCAGCTGGTGTCCTCAGTTCGGTACCATCTGGGGTTGGGACCCCTTCCAGGGCGCTCCCACCCCACCCTCTTCCTTATTGTGCAGGATACTGATTAGAGTGGTCGGCGCTGTAGTCTCTTACCTTCTACCTCGTGGCTGCTCCTACTGTGCTCGTTCGATGGACAGAAGGACGCAATAATGGACCGACGGACGCGGGAGACCAAGGCGGCTCCGCAGCTCTGCTCCCTGCCGGCTCCAGGGAGGGACTGCAGCCTGGGCGGTTCCGCCGTATTATCCCCTGTTTCTCGGTCTCCATAGAGACGGCGAGTCCCACCCCCAGGGCTGTCTCGGCGGGAGAATGACCAAGGTCACGCTAGCCCCACCCACCGGACCCCTCCCCCTCTGCGCTCAGCTGGGGCGGAGCTGCTGCGATATCATCAGCCCCGCAGCTCGCAGGGCAGCTCCACGGCCTTCACGCCCGTTGGAGACCAGCCCTCCGCAGCTCTGGACGTCCTCGGATGAACCCCTAACGGGAAAAGAGCCTCATCTGGGGCTTTGCCCAAAGTTCAAGGCAGGCCCCCACCTCCATAGGGAAGATGAAGATTCCCAGAGCGGCAACCGAAGGCCGTTTGGGAACAGGAGCGGG